TCAGGCACTCAGGGTGGGATACCAGTACCACTTCAGTGGTATTTGAAACACAACAAGTCTCTCTCTCTTACTGTCTGTCATTCAGGCATTACTTATTAAGAGGTATTTCCAAGGGAATGCTGCTGGCCACGACTACCTTGATGGTCACTACTACCATTGTATTATTTTGACAGTAACAGTGAAATGCTACCCATTGAAATGCTCCTTACAGAAACATCCGGGACAGATTTACCTTGCCATGTTTGAAAAGGCTGACATTTTCACAGACCAGCACTGCTCATTTGCAAAACTGAGACTGATTTCAAAAGGTCTGTACACATCTCGGAGCTCCCGCAGGACAGCACAGATGACAGTAAGCAGCCTAACTTTGATTAATAGGCTGACACTGCTTTATGGTAGGACAACTTCCAGCTGCTGGAAAGCACTGAAGGGAAACTAAAACATCACCAGAGAGAGAGACAGTTTTTCGGCTGCTCCATTTCTGCTGAAGGACTAGGGTAGGACCCCGTAGGACTTTATAAGGTGTCCCTGCCCATGGCAGGGGTGTTGGAACTGGATGATCTTTAAGGTCCTGGCCAACCCAAACCACTCTATGATTCTATAATCCACTAATATGCAAGAAAAGCAGATCTTTGTATCCAGCTTTTGTTATTTTCCAAAATACACTTATCTATTAATTATTTCATAGTGTACCAACCTATCAAAACTCTTTTCACCCCACTTATACCACAGATAACAGATGCAGGGACTAGATTATACCAAACACTTTTGAAAGCCACACCTTCTATTTTTGATGATCTGTGAAGGTATGATGGACATTGTTTTTCTTACAATTTATATCTATCACAGTGACATAGTTCCACATAAATACAATATCTTATTATCCTGATTGATCCCATTGTGAAGAGCAGATACCCAATTCCTTCATCAGACTGGAGAAGGAAGCGGTGAGGTTCATGCCAAATCCAGGCTACCAGCAAGGGCTCCAAGCGCTTGGTTCCCTCAACATTAACATCAGCGCTGCACACTGCTGGAGTCACTCAGCAGTATGAATTTGATCTGACTCAGACGTGGGCACAGGATTGCAGTTCAGTCGAGTTAGTCAGACACTATGGAGCTGCATTTTTTCTAGGGGAGGAGGCAGGGGCAAGATGCGCTGAGCTGAGTCAACAATGATTTCTGAAGAAAGACCCACCAGAAGCTCAGTCTATTGCAGCCTATAACAATGGCATTCTGTAGTGAACTCCAGGAGCCATCAGCCCAACTGCAAGCTATTGGCATCTCAATGACACCATTAACTTAATCCGTTACTGAGTTTTGAGAGAGACGTTGTTAGCACCTACAGAGAAGAAAGCACTACCAAAAGGAGAGAGGAGAGGTCACCAGCCTTATGGAAGAGCAGGAGCACCAAGCGTCTAAAAACTACCAGACATAGAGAAGTCTGCCAAGTAAAATAAGCATTTCCATTTGTAACTCCCAGTCATAGCATTGATATTATGATTCCTGTCCTCTTTTCATCCCTCTCTGTCATTTGTAGCTGATTCTGAAAATATGATTGTCCAACTGCAACTGGAGAGCTCAAAGTTACAGTCCCCAGTAACCAGCAAACCTTTTGATGTGGTGATCCAGCACTACCACGCCATCTCTTCCAGCTGCATCACCTTCCCCATGATGGTGTCAAGATTAAGCCTCCGTCCTGCTGTTGCCACCACTGGACCACAGTAACATCTGGCTTGTTGTGGTTTAACCCCAGCTAGTAACTAAGTACCACACAGCTGCTTGTTCACCTCCTCCCCTCTTCCAGTGGAAGAGGAGAATCAGAGGAAAAGACAAAGATGATCATGGATTAAGACGAGAAAAATTAAATAATTGAATATAAATTAATTAAATATTGATACTAATAAAACTAATAATATGTAATGAAAACTATGGAAAATAAAACATATGGTACAATTGCTCATCACCCGTTGACCAATACACAGCCAGATCGTGAGTAGCAAGAGTCAGATCCAGAGAGGCCAGAAGCTGGAGCCTCAGGGAGATCGCAGCAGAGTCTGAGTGAGCCCCATGAGTGAGAGCACAACTGGGAAAGCCAACCAAAACACCAACTCATTAACTGACTAATGCACAAAAAACGAACTGAGGCACCCCGCCCACCCCCAGCTTATATACTGATTATGACGTTCAGTGCATAGAATTAGCTGTCTGAACTTTGTGTGACTCCACACACACTGCTTGTAGCAAGAAAGTTGGGAACACAGGTGCAGTATCAGAAGCTGAAAAAGTCCTTGAATTGGTGCAAACACTCCTTGGCAACACTAAAAAGCACCAGTGTTACCTGTACTCTTCCCAGCACAAATCCAAAACATAGCCTTGTAACAGCTACTGTGAAGAAAATTAACTCTGTCCTGACTAAAACGGGCACATGGCTGTAGCTCTGAACTTTAAAAGATGGACACACAGCATATGGTCAATATGCCAAAACCTTTCAGGGTCCTGTCCCCCCTTAGGCTACCCCATTTTGCCACACTGCAACAGACACTGTGCTCATGTCAACAACACTGAATTCAAGAGAAAGATGCCAACATACACTGATGGAGAAGACTGGGACTGGCCTTTCTTTCTCATTCCCCCTCCTCTACAACACTCTTGAGATGTTTATGATTTGGGTATCTATCTGCTGACATGTATAAATTTGGACTGAGGTGAATTTTACAGTTCAGCAAATATAAAATAATTTTTAAACTTACATGTGGTCAGATATAAAGTCTGAAAAACATCAGCCCAATAAAATGAAATGGTAGTTCAGTCAGGTTCAGCATTACCCAATGTAATTGAAAATACTGCCTTCCACAGCCTGAATGTGCTGCCCTTTTATGACTTTCTGTCTGCTGAAGACTATAAATCCTTGATCAGATGATCTTTACTAAACTGTAAAATATATTGAGTCAAGTTCAATTTGGTTAGGCAAGAGTAACACTTATTGAAACCAGAGAGACTTAGAGCAAAAGAGGCTCCTGTAAATCAGCTGTCCTGGCATTGACGACAAATTGTCATATAAGGATTGATAAAATCTTCAGCATAAATTGTTATTTGGAAGATTAAGTCTGCACTCAGTGGATCTGGGTCCTTCAAAAGCATGAAACAACTTGGAAAATTGAGGAGACATTTTTTCCCAGGTACTTAGGTAGTTGGAGATGGCAATATACCACTTGTCTGCCTCATTACACAGCTAAATGCCTTTGAAAATGTAATCTTCAGTCATATTCTCAAAGGAGACAGATTTCTAGAAGTGCACAGATGTCCAGGAGGTTTAGAAAGTGCCTAGTTGTTTAGCTCACAATAAAATCAATTAATGTTAAGGGCCTCATATAAAACCACATCAATCTACCTGATTAAAAAAATACAGTCCCTAAGATCATGTGTCTTGTTAAAAATCAGGGTGGTTGAAGCTCTTGCAAGCTCTTCAAGCTACTTTATGGCTTTCCATTATATAGTCCCCAGGCAGCTAAGAAGGAGCACTTGATCAGTGGGAATGAGGACAAGAGAGGTGTCAAGTTTGAACCAGCCTCCAGGCACAGCTGGGTTGCCAGGACAGGGGTCTTGCAACAGCGGGGAACAGATGGTCCGTAGAAAGGCTGACATGAAAATAGGCCAGTCCAGATCTTCTCAAAGACACCTCAATCATATCTGCGCCATTTATAGCAAGCTGTGGGCTTGCTCAGACCATGTGAGAAGGTGTTTTTCTTTAAATAGCAGTTTAGGATGAGAGATGCCACTTCCAATATAATCACCCTTCTTTAATATAGCCTAGTGTTTTGCAGCTGGATAATTAACCTTGATATTTGTTTGGGCTTTGAAACACACAGCTCCCATTGCTGTCAATTAGCTGACAAAGTTGAATGTGTGTTGATGGAAGATTTTTGTTGGACCCTGGCAGTGTGGCATTCGGGAAATTTCAGCAGCTAATACAATCTACCTGCTGGAGAAAGTCTTTCACAAATTACTCTAACAATTTTAGAATGGGAAGTGAGATTGTGAATTTGTCACTGCATTGAGTTTGCAAAAGAGAACAGATGTACATTAAAGTTAACCCTACTTTCTGTTCTTATTGCAATGCTGCTTTCTAAAAGATTCCTCCAGACAATTGTCCAACCTTTTTGTTATCAAGGTACTGTACAGTTGTGAGCAAAAGGACGCTGCCTTGAGCTTGGCTAGAGCATTCAGGAGCTACCATACTTCTTAATACTAATGTAAGGCAGGAGGCAGGGATGTAAATGATACTTACTAAGTAATTTTTGCTATATGAGGTGGCACAATAAACATTGCAGTATGAAAATGGGACACAGTATGGGAAGGGCCAGTGGCACTTTACTTTTCCTGCTGAAGAAGAGTTACAGCCTGCTGGTAACAGTATTAAATTAGTGGGCAGCAAGAAGTTTGAATCAGACTATTTTCCAGTTATCCCACAGTGGGTCACATACTGCTAATGAGTGTTAACCCCACACTTGGGCAAACATTCATCTTGAGAAATGAACAACGTCATTCAGGGCTTTTAAAGAAGCCAGCACAGTCAACAGCTAAAACGAAATTGGCTCAAACACAGCTACTTTCCTTTTTAAATATTACTCTTCCTCCCCGATGAGAATGGGAGCTGATGTCTTCAGTGAAACTTTCTTGTAGCAAAAGCCCAGGGCAGCCCGAGACCCTTCCAAGTTAGAAACCCTGCCTTGTAACAGAGGAGTAGCTGATGCTCAATCAAATGCTTTTGCACAGGCTAGCTAGAACCTTTAGTGAAGGTTCCTAACGTGATCTCAGCTTGACCTCCATATGTTTAAAGTATTGACTCATCTGCTGAGAGAAAATAGCAAACAATGGGGGGGGGGGGGGGGGGG